GGGGTTTGGATGGTAAACATTGCAACTAGAGCAGTGAGGGGAGCATCTAGATTTGGGAAGTAACCTGAGCTAGGTATTATGTAACATACACACTGTTAAGTACTGAAAAATATGGCGGTTCACGTCCATTTCAGTTTCGCTTACATGATTAGCATTTATGTGTCGATCGGGGAAAAATGATGCAAGAATATCGGTGAAATATGCTAATAAAATCTTCTATTTCTTTTTGCATTACCTCCTAGTGTATGTTCGTTATTTTGAAATTCGGAGGCATGAGTACAAACTCCCAACTGGACACCTTTTCATTTTTATAACCTTAAATTCTTGAGCTATAGCTTGAATTCATGCATTTATATCCACTGCCTTCCATTTTTGCCCTTGATTAAAGGAAGATAATTTGACCTACTTCCTAAACAGGGGCACGAGGTTGATTCTTTTGGTATTGGAACACATTTGGTTACCTGTTACGCGCAGCCCGCTCTAGGTGTTGTTTTCAAGTTAGTTGAAATAAATAATCAACCAAGGATCAAACTTTCTGAAGATGTTACAAAGGTTTGCTGAAGCTATACTAAACTCTGTAGGCATTTGAGATCTAATATGGATTCCATTCTATTTCCTCTCTATTCCATGAATATGGAGGTTCATTCTATTTCCTTTCTAGGTCTCTATTCCATGTAAAAAACGGTGTTTCAGATTGTATGGAAAGGAAGGCTACCCCCTTGTCGACATAATGGCTGGTGAAAATGAACCACCTCCCAAGGTACTTTATTTTTCTTTTATTTTTTCAATACATCCTACAGTATTTATCAAAGCTTGTCATGTCTAGTTCTTAAGTTGCGGTCCTTAAGATTTATCTGGTGTATACAATGGTTAACAAAGAAAGAAATATTGACAGGTAGGTGAACGAATTTTGTGCCGTCATCCATTTAGTGAATCTAAAAGGGCATATGTTGTACCCCAGCGTGTTGAGGAGCTTTTAAAGTGTTTTTGGCCTGGAAGTTCAGGTGAGACTTGTTTTCTCTAGAATTATAGTAACTTTTAAGCTGGAAAATTTTCTGAGAAAAAATGTGACCCAACAATTCGTCAATTCCAAAATGCATCGGATGCTGAGTTAATTAGCTACTTGTTGTTAGTTTTGCAAGTTATTGCTAAGTGACTAGGGCTTCCAGCTGCTGCATTTTGCTTTTATGAGGACATTGTTCAATTCATCGCATATGTCAATAAACACAACCAAGCCATTTAATTATTTTATGTGGTGTGTGTGTGTGTGGGGGGGGTGGGGGGGGGGTAGGTTAGTGTAGTTAGAGTAAGGTAAAAGTAGAGTGTACG